TCCTCTAGGTTTTCAAATTTGTTGGAGTATAGTTTTTCATAGTATTCTGTTATAATCCTTTTTATTTCAGTTGGGTCTGTTGTAATGTCCCCCATTTCATTTCACACTGGTAGATTTTAATATACTTCTGAACAATATAGTAAGGAAGATATTTCATAAGGATAGAGAAACTTACAAAATTTGACTATGTCCATACACCTGGAAGTCTATTTCTGAAAAGAATTAGCCAGTGAAAACCTTATGAATAGCAGCAGAATATTGTCTGATATAGTGCCAGAAGATGAGCCCCCCGCCCCCAGGTTGGAAGGCACTCAAAACACAACTGGGGAAGAGCTGCCTCCTCAAAGTAGAGTTGATCTTAATGATGTGGATGGAGTCAAGCTTTTGGGACCTTCATTTGCTGATATGGCACAACTCAAAATGAGAAGAAATAGCAGCAAATATCCATTAATAACCAGAATGTGGAATGTACTAAGTAAGAATCTAGGAAATTTGGAAATCATCAAAAATGAAAATGAACGCATAAAGATCAGTATCCTAGGCGTTAGTGAGCTGAAATGGACTAGTATTGGCCATTTTGAATCAGACAGTCGTATGGTCTACTATGCTGAGAATGACAACTTGAAAAACAGCGTTGCATTCATCATCAAAAAGAACATTTCAAGGTCTATCCTAAAGTACAGTGCTGTCAGTGATAGGATAATATCCATACACCTACAGGGAAGACCAGTTAATAGGACTGTTATTCAAATTTATGCACCAACCACTAAGGACAAAGATGAAGAAATTGAAGATTTTTACCAGCTTCTGCAGTCTGAAGTTGATCAAACATGCAATCAGGATGCATTGATAATTACTGGTGATCAGAATGCAAAAGTTGGAAACAAAGAAGGATTGGTAGTTGGAAAATATGGCCTTGGTGATAGAAACAGTGCTGGAGATTGCATGATAAAATTTTGCAACCAACAGCTTCTTCACTGCAAATACCTTTTTTCACCAAAATAAACGGTGACTATACACATGGACCTCGCCAGATGGAATACAGAGGAATCATCTGTGGAAGGAGATGATGGAAAAGCTTAGCATCATCAGTCAGAACAAGGCCAGGGGCCGACTCGGAACAGACCATCAATTGCTCATATGCAAGTTCAAGTTGAAACTGAAGAAAATTAGAACAAGTCCACGAGAGCCAAAGTACAACCTTGAGTATATCCCACCTGAATTTAGAGGCCATCTCAAGAACAGATATGACGCATTAGACACTAATGATCGAAGACCAGACAAG